AGATCCATTTTGGAAGAAGTGCAGCCAGAGTGTTCCTTGGAGGCCTAGATGACCTAACTTCATGTCTCATACTTGGACATATTGTCAGGAAGGACCAGTCTCAGGAAAAGGATATAATGTTTGGTAAGGTGGAGGGTCAGAGAAAAAGAGGAAGACCCCCAATGAGATGGATTGGCCAAGTGGCAGCATCAATGAATTCAAGTATGGCAACAGTAGTGAGGTTAGCCCAGGATCGGGCAGTGTTTCGTTCTGCTGTGCATAAAGTCACTATGGGTCTGTACTGATTCGATGGCACCTAACAACAACAGACACCAGTAGCAACAGAAACCCAGATCTTGGTTTCTAATACCATTCCCCAATAAAAAGAACCAGATTAATGGAGAAATGTCTGGCTCTTAAGACTGGGGTAGGACATATATAACATGAATGTAGAGCACTGTAAGGAGCACTGATGGTACAGTGGTTACACACTTGGCTGCTAAACAAAGTCAGCAATTCAAAGCCACCAGCCACTTAATGGGAGAAAGATGTGGCAATCTGCTACAATAAGGAGTTCTTCAGCCTTAGAAACCCTATGCAGCAGTTCAACTTTGCCCAATAGGATCACTAAGAGCTGCAATCGGCACAATGGCAGTAAGCTTGGATTTGTTGGGGTTTTAGAACACTGTGTCGTGTCAGAAAGGAGGGAAGTACACACCCCGAAAAAACCTAACTTAAAATTGATAGAGGAATGCTAACAGGGCATGTAAGACAACTGACAGGGCTCCCAATGGTCAAAGCTGGAACAATCTGAGCCACAAAATAAGTACTAATTAATGATAAGCCCAAAGTACAAATGATTGAGTAAATAAATAAATGAGGGAGAAGAGACAAACATCCCATGCAGAAAACTTCACAATACTTTATGTAGATAAGCAGTCCTCAAGGAATGGGGCATAATTCTCTATTTCTTAAATGTGGACTGCCAATATTTACTTCCTTCCAGGAGTACAGTTTGAAAACACAGAACCAAAAGAGTAGAGAAACCTGACAAACATTACCTTAGACACGTGGTCAAGATCAGCATCAGTGTTCATAAATTATATATGGATATGGTGTGATGAAAATGGCACTTTATCTCTGTAGTCTTCCTCCCAAATACCTGTATCCCAGTCTTATCATGAAATCCTAAGGAGGTACATTTTATAAAATACCTGACCAGACTTCTTAAAATTGTCAAGGACAACAAAAACAAGTCTAGCAAACTGTTATAGCCAAGGGATGCCTAAATGCAATGAGGTATCTGGATGGGATCTTGTGAGAAAACAGGACATACGATAAAATGAAAATCCACATAGAGTATGGGTTTTAGTTAATTAATAACTGTCGTCAAGTCAATGCCTTGATTCACCAACTCATGGTGACCCCATGTGTGACCGAGTGGAGATGTGCGCCATCGGGCTCTCCACGGCTAACTTTTCAGAAGTAAATCACCAGATCTTCTTCCCAGGTGCCTTTGAATGGACTTAAGTTGTCAACTTTTCAGTTAACAGTTAAGTGTGTTAGCCATTTGCACCACCCAAAGGCTTCGTCTACTAATAACAAACTAATATTGGCTCAGAAATTGTAACAAATACAAAATATAATGACAATAATGGAATATGCTAATTAGAGAAGAAACTGGACAAGGGTAGCATCTAGGACCTCTTTACACTACTTGAGCAATTTTTTTGTAAACCTAAAACTGTTTCAAATAATAAAGTCTATCAAAAGCATACACACACACACACATTTAGGAATGTATCTAGACAAGCATTGAGGTTGTAGTGCAGCACTGAAGATCATTACACTCTCCTCTCCTTACATATACTCAATTTAAAGTCCTTGCAATTATTCTCTACAGAATTTTTCTTAAGAAAATATTTCCAATCAGTAACAGCTGCAAACAATTTCAAGCAGCAATTCTCAGAAGGGATATATTAAAGCCAGAGTGAGTACTCTAACTAAAGTTTCATTTTTTTCTCCTTACACACTGCTGCAGATGTCTGAAAAGTTGTAAACTATCATTAACTTATGTTGCTTTGAGATGATCCAAATACATTTAATACAACTCAGAAGAGCTAACTCCAATTTTAAGTTAAATCAAGCCAGTGCTAAAATATCCAACAAACTTTACACATCTAAAGAGAGAACCTGAAAAAAGTTATCTCACATACTATGTCTTCCTATACAAACATGATTCTAGTGAAATTCTGCAGAGTTCAATACAAACAAATGAAGAAAATAGGAGAGTCAGGAGAAGAAGAAAAAGTAACAACTGAAAGGGTGTATAGTGTAGAGTGAAAAAAGAAAAGAACTGGGATTTGAAAAGTACCACATAAAAGCACTGAGAGCAGGTAAGTAGTAAGCCTATGCTATGTTATGGTTGGAGGAAGGGGAATGACTGATACGTGAATCAGCATAGATTAAAAATCTGAAAGCAGGAAAATGCTAGACATTTAAAAAAATGAAATATTTACATTTAATAAAAACTAAGTAAATGTTCAAAATTGGATATTAGATGTACTGATAGGAAATAAAAGGGAATAAATTCACTTTAAAAAAATTCATACTAAATACAATCCATTTTGACGTATTTCCTGCTATGAATACAAACTAAACATTATTAAATACATTCAAAGACATTGGAAAGTGGGGGAGAAATTACAAACAGAATGTACTTAATATTATGAACAGTGGTTATCTCAGAACAGATTATAAGCAAATTTTCTTCCCCTTTTTTCTTTTTTTCTGCTGTGAAGTGAATGACTTGTGGAATTTTTTTAGTCGTCATTTGCATTAAAGAATTTGAGAAATTAATTACATTTGTAATACATTTTGTAGTTGTTGTTAGGTGATGTCAAGTAGGTTCAGACTCATAGGCACCCTGCATAGGGTTTCCAAGGAGCAACTCAGTGGGTTTAAACTGCAGACTTTGTGGTTCGCAGGCCAGTGCTTATTCTACAATGCCACAGTCTGCCCTTTATATGGAAAATCCATAAAATATTTTAATTTTCAAACTTTAAGTAAAAGTGTGACTCCACGACCAAATATTTTCCAAACTGGCAACTTAAGAACTACACCAAAATGTCTAGAAAACTCCAATCCCAAATAGAAAACGTATACTAATTAAAAAAAAAAAAAGATGTCTCTGATTTTAAATTAAATGGTCTCACTACCACATTCTCTAAGGAGCTCTGGTAACGGAGTGGTTACGAAGGTCGGCAGTTTGAAACTACCAGCTGTTCCGTGGGAGAAAGATGAGGCTGTCTGCTCCTGTAAAGATTCACAGCCTTGGAAACCCTGTTGAGGGTGGCTATGAGTCAGAACTGACTCCACGACACATAACCACCAACCACCACATTCTCTAAATCATTAGTACACTTTCCAAAACCCAAGGAAGTTTTAAAAACGTAAATAAATCAGAAGTAACACACACATGGTTAATTTTACTTTATAACTATAAAGAAGTCTTCCCAGAATCCTAATTCTCCTTTCTCAAAACTTACAAAGCCAAAACTAAAACAACTGAAAACTAAGTTTTTCTGGATTCTTATCCTAACCCATCCGCTGCTGTATGTAGGAGTCAATTCAACGACACTGTACAACAACATCATCTAAGACATTAGCTCATTTACATACGCCATTCTTATTGTCCAAGGCAAGAGCTGAAACTTTTCAAAGCATCACATTTCAGTGAAAGGCAATTTGTAAAGGAATCCACCCCCTAATTCTCTAGTTTTAGGTGTCTATGGATTACAAATCCTGTCCCCAAGAAGATGCCAGTAGTTAGTACTACTAAGGACATTATGGGAAATGAACGATTTTAGAAACACTGCAAAGGAACTCAACAATCGATGCCAAGTTTTTGCATATAGGTAACCCCTTGAAAGAAAAGTGGAGAGTTCGCCTCCGTTGGGTGCTACACGAGTGGTCAAATACCCTGCTGCAAAGGCTTTTTTAGCTGGTGAAGACAGGAGAATTGCTGTCTTCTCAAAAGTAAATGGGTGAGTCTGTAAAGTGGGGCTGGCTACCAAAGGAAAGCTTACAGGAATCAAAAACAATATCTATCTTAATTTGAGGACGTGTACAAAGGTGGAACCTTGTCCCAAAGGATTATTTGAAAGGATCCCCCAAGGTTGGCGGGTTAGGGGGTGGGGGGTGGGGGGTGACAGTAGGATATGCAGAGGCGTTCTCAAGACGCCAAATCTAAATAAATACAGCCCTGGGAAGAATCCTCGGTGTGCCGTGGCCCCACGGACCAGATAGCCGCAGGTGTGCCTGCGGAAGCTCAGGTTACTAGGAAACAGAGCAGACACGGGCGTCTTCACTGGCCAGCCCTCCCCGGCCCCAGCGGGCACGGTGGGCGCGGTGGGCGCGGGTCGGCAAGGGCTCTGCGGCGCCAGGACCCGCCGCGCTAACGCGCTCCGGGAGCAGTGCCCTCGCACACCTGGCTCCCGACACCAGTTGAAAGCAGTCAAAGTGAATGAAGGCGGACGCAGCGCCTGGCACAGCTCCGATCCCAGCACACAAAGGCGGATTTTTACAATCCGGGAAGAATTAGAGCCGCCGGACCCGCAGCAGGCGCCGTTCACCGAGGGGCTCTTACCTCGGATCTGCCCTCGGGGCCGCGGCTTTCCCCGTAGGGGTCGCGAGCCCAGGCAAGGGTGGAGACGACCAGGAAAAGCCCCCGACCTGGACCGCGCCCTCCCAACGCTCCGCCAGCTGCAAAGTCGCCTTCCGCGTCCAGCAGCTGAGAAGCGGTCTCCGGGCAGCCAGAGCCCGGGCCTCGCGGCTGCCGAAACAACCACGTCCGCCGCTGCCTGTGAAGTCTGAACCTGCCCGCCCGCTCGCCAGCTAGCCCGCTCGCCGCCAAAGGCAGCCGCGCGCTGCGCATGCCCAGTGCACTCGAGTAGAAAGCGAGCGAGCGCGCGCTGCGCGGTCCAGAACACACTCCGCTTTCCGGGCCTTGAGGGCAGCCGAGCTGTAGAGTGTCTGGTTTACACCAGCGCTTGGGCAAGGGGAGGGATGACCATAGAATGGACCGCAGAACCGTGGGCGGGAAAGAAGGCGGAACGCCGCGTCAACTTATCAAGGCCACCATCAAAGTCGGACTAAGGTTCCAGTGCTGCCAACAGGTTTTCAGAAGTGCCCTAGCAGGACGGACTAGCAGCCAGGATATGAGGCTAGAGGAATAGAGTGTGCCTCCAGGCAAGAGATGGTGCTCCAGGCGACATGGACTCTCAGGTTACAATGTCCCGGCTCTTGTACACAGTTCATGTGTGAGTCCTGGTGGCGCAAAGGTTAAGCGCTAACCGAAAGGTTGGTGCTTGGACCACACCAGCTGTTATTTAGGAGAAAAGGCAATCAGATGTACAGGCTTGAAAATCCTATGGGGCAGCTCTGTTGTATCCTGTTGTTGTTAAGTGCCGTGGAGTCGGTTCCGACTCATAGGACCCTGAACAGGGTTTCCGAGGCTGTAAATCTTTATGGGAGCAGAAAGCCTCATCTTTCTCCTGCGGAACAGCTGGTAGTTTCGAACTGCAGACCTTGCGGTTCGCAGCCTGATTCATAACCGCTAAGCTATATAGGATCACTATGAGTAGAAATCAGACCCCAGCAATGGATTTTTTGTTTTGTGTTGTTTGGCCTTTGGGGCAGTAAGCATGTTTGTACCTCACAATGGGGCAGCTTTCATTTTCCTCTCCGAAGCTCCCACCTATAGCCCCCTGCCTGTGTGGCACAAACAATTAAACGTGTAAGCTACTGGCTGGCTGAAAGATTGGAAGTTTGGAACCCACCCAGAGATGCCCCTGAACACAGGCCTGGAGAGCTGCTTCTGAAAAGCTGCTGTTCTTACGTAACGGAGTCAGTTCAAACTCATTGCGATCCTATTACAACAGAAACACTGCCCGTCCCTGCCCCATACTCACAAGCATTCCCCGGTTGGGCCATTGTTGCGACCACTGTATCAATCCGTCTTGTTGGCCTTCCTCTTTTGCAATCACCCTGTACTTTACCAAACATAATGTGCTTCTCCAGAAACTGGTCTCTCATACCATGTGCTTACTTCTTCCAAGATAGATCGGGATTTTTTTCTCTGGTCGTCCATGATATCTGCCTGGGTATGGCCATCTTGAGCTTTAGTGAGCAGCATTGGATCCAGACTGCCGCCTTATGGCACGATGCACACTAGTGACTGGTGACACAAACAGTACGATTTCCCACTTTCCTGGTGACCAGTGGGCATGTGACACCAGTAGGCATGTGACTTCTGCCTCTTCAGACCAGCAGAACCCGAAGAGCGCATCCCCACTCATCCCTGGACCAGCCAGAACTCTCATAGCCAGGCACCCTGTCCCCAGCTGCCCTTTGGCCTGAAAGAGTTATTTCTGGTGACAAAGCACTTGACCTCAGTCACTCTTAGGGTCTTCACGTCACTACTTCCAGATTAGGTGCTCTGACCCAAGAGAACCTAGATCTATAGGAACTCCATCTAGGGCTGGACATGCCTTTCACCTCTCCCCTACCACTTCGTGAGCTCCTTAACCATCCATACCAGGCACTCGGCCCTCATCATTTTCTCCTTTTTGAGAACAGCCTCTGCCCTAGTATTTTCCTATTCTAAAAAATTTCTCCCTCTTCTCTCTCTCTTCCCCTATTTTTAATCATTTTTCTCCACTTTTCTTTTTCCTTGCAGATCTACGTGTTATATATAGTCAGGGAATGTAATCTGGAAAAGTCCGTGCAGACACTAAGAGTAGCTGAGCTCAAGATCTGTGTTCCCTGAAAAAACTCTTAAAGAAAAGGAAAAAAAATGCTTAAAAAGAATACATACCCAAAAAAACTGTCCTTCAAATATGATGACAATTGTAGCACATTAGAAAATAAAGGAATTCGTAAAAACCATGTGAACTTTACAACAAATACTAAAGGGAGTTCTTTAGCTAGAGAACCAACAACATCAGACAACAACTTGAGATTAACATACATGACAATACCACCCAGGAATCAACCCAGATATAGAAGTATCTGGTGTGGCGTGGTGGATTCATGTGCCAGACTACAAAGCCTTTTGAACCGCAAGGTCAGCGGTTTAAGCTCACCAGCTGCTCCTTGGAAACCCTACACAGGGTTGCTCTGGGTCAGAACTGACTCGACAGCACTTAACAAGAACAACAAAAGTAAAACAAACATACAAGACTGAAAATAGGGAGCCAGAGATATCAATTTGTAATGAAGACAACTATAAAGCAAAAAGAGGGAAGAGTGTAGATATAGAAATTCCAAATGACAAGGAAGTTTTCAACAGTAGAGACCATTTTAAACGTGAGAGGAAATTAATATATTATCAGGATAACCTGAAAGAAAATAAATCTCATCAATATAAAGAAGAGGAAAATCATAAAGATTTAGTAAACATTAAAACAGTAACAAAGAAAATTCACAAAATGAACTCAACACAGAAAATCATGTAGAACAAAGAAACCAGAAGTGCCACACACACACACACTCACACACAAAAGAAAACCCTGCAAATAGTTCATACCTATCGATAATTACAATACTAAATCATAATGAATCTGTGAAACACCTGAAAACATGGATAAACATTATACTGAGTGAAATAAGTCAATCACAAGAGGACAGATACTGTATGAGACTACTATTATAAAGAGTCAAGAAAAGGTTTTCACATTGAAAGAAACATTCCTTGATGGTTTCCAAGGATGGCAGGGAAGGAGGAATAATTCACTGGACCAGAGGGTAGACACTTATTGACTTAGGTGAAAGGGAAGACAACATACAATAAGAGGGAAGTCAGCAAAAAATGATGGAGGCATGGAAAGACACTGAGAGGACTGCAAGGGTTAAAGGCAATAGAGATAAATACTTTTAAATACACAATTCTTCAATAATAGCGTTCTTCAGGTAGATGCATAGATAAACATGCACGCTGAGCAGATGTGGGAAGCCGAGGGGAGTAGTAGGAGCATACCTACAAATATACAAAGGTAACAGAGGATAACGGTACAAATTTACCTTTGCTGAAAATAATTCCACCGCGGGAGAAAGATGAGGCTTTCTACTCCCGTAAAGATTTACACCCTCGGAAACCCTGTACAGGGTCGCTATGGGTCGGAACCAACTCGACGGCACTTAACAACAACAACAATATGGGGTATGATTAGCCCTGTTCTGCTAAGCACAAGGTTGGCAGTTCTCACCCACCAGCCACTCCTTGGAAACCCTACACAGGGTCACTGAGTGATGCCACTTAGCAACAACAGCAATGGGGCAAAATCATGAACATTTCTTACATATTTCCAAACACTTCGAAGAAATGAGCTGCTGGCCCTGGGGTCTCAGGACCATACTCTCATGGGACACCACGGTCAATTGGTAAAACATCGTCCACAAAGACAAAGTACTTTGGTGAATATTCTCTGGGATCTTAAAAGCTTATGAATGGCTGAGCAAAGTGCAATAACTGGACTCTCCCTGTTTGGAATTAAAAAGAGTGAAGAAATTTAAAGATGCATAGAAACAATTAGTCCAATGGACTAATAGACCACACAAACTTCAGTCTCTAAGACCTTGAGACCACCAGCTACCACCACCAACAGCACTGAAAGGTACCATATTGGAAGGTCCTGGATAGAGTGCGAAAAACAAAACTCAAAAAACAAAAAAAAAAGACCAAGCATCCTCGTGACTCAATCTTCAGCAAAGCAATGGATAAGTAAATACGGAGACAACAACGTCTTTTTTAGCCTAATTTCATGTTAAGAAATATTAGTATTCACTTCTAACTTATGGCATCTGTAAATTTTATGATCATACCTTCATTGTTTCCATTTAAGTCCAATTAAAACACAAAAACTAACATTAAACAGGCTTAGAAAAGAACCTTACAGCTCATGCCTTTCAAGATCATGTACTTTATTTCATGAAACCAGACCATAACCAGCCAGAATTAAACATACAGTTTGATACTTTGGTGAAATAAAAATTTAGTGCCTCTAGCATCCTTAAATCTACCATTCCAAGGAACCACTTTAAAAAACGAAAACAACAATAAAAATCTAGCTTTTTAAACAGGATCTGTTTTCAAATTAACCCATTAAAATTTTTTTTTTATTGTAAATTGAGTGAAGATTTACAGACAAGCTCATCAGTTTTAGATTAAACAAATCATACATGGTGTTTCATCTCAATGATGACAACCTCCCACTCCCACCCCCCCAACAACAGTTATCCAGCTTCCTCCCTGTAGTTCCTATTTATATTCCACCCACCTTCTCATCCCTTCTTTGTCCTTAGAAAAATGTTGCCCTTTTGATTTTGAATGATTGTTTTGGCTGATGATATGGAGCTTTTCCACCATCTCTTCCCACAGATGTAGTCATTTTGACTTCTGTGTATTTCAACTGGTGAGGTCCATGTGTATAGTTGCTTTTATATTATTTTAAAAAGGCATTTGCAATGAAGAAGTCATTGGTCTTGCAAAATTCTGTCATGTAATTTCTAGAATCATTTTTATCACCAAGGCCATATTTTCCAACTATTGGTCCTTCCTCTTTGTTTCCAACCTTTGCATTTCATTCTCCAGTATTATCAGTACATCCTGTTTTCATGTTTGATCAATTACAGACAGAAGAAATTGGTAGAATTCTACAATTTCATCCTCACTGACGTTAGTGATACACATTTGACTAATAGTAGTATTAACTGGTTTTCCTTGCAAGTGTATGGATATTATCCTATCACAGACCAGATTATACTTC